GTGGAAGCATCCATGTTGTAGGTGTTGATTGAATTTTGTTGTTATGGTAATGTTCAATAATTTCATTAAAGGGAATTAACTATAATAACTACTAAAAACATGGCGGAAGGAAGAAAACTACCAGAGGCCCTGATGTCTCTCACCTGGTGTAGCTACGCCACTGACTGGTGAAGATTTTGATGGACCTCTTGTTTATTTCACTTCACAATCTGGCTCATTCACTCCATCTTTTACTTGTTCCTTTTTTTCCTTCTCCCTCTCCTTCCTCCTCTTGATGGTTGGACAGCCTGGAGTTTGACTGAGGGACTATAGCACTGTACAGGGATAACTGCAGCTTTTATCAAGGTGCAGGAAAAATGATCTATTAAGACAAGGTGTATGGAGGGTGACTAGATCCAGCTAAACTGAATGGTATGTGATTTCTCATTTATGATCAATGTACATAACCTATAGAGCTGTTGCACGGATGTAATCAACGGGGTAGGCGGAGCTTCCTGTCGGCCATCTTGAGTGGCAAGAATGTACACGCAACGAATGGAGGAATGGAAACAAACTGCGATTTTTCATCAAAGAGATATCATACTTCGCTGCAGAATATTATAGAGACTTCTTTACTCAATATCTTCATCTCCTACCTTGCATTAGCCTGGAATGTCAACTGCAGAATTTATTTGAATTTTTTTCTCCATTCCCCCATTCATTCTTGGCCTTCTTGCCACCCAACATGGCGGACAATTTAGCTCAATTTTAGCCACACCCTCCCGTTGATTACTTCCGTGCAACAGCTCTATTAACCTTGTATGAGTGGAAGTTATATTTAGTGTTAGTCTGTTAGATTATAGGGTTATATGTATTATTTAGGTGGTAGCCTATATGTAGGATTGAGGTTGGTTTTTTAAGATGGCCGCCGTTCTTATGATTTTCAAACACTTATAACTCTTTTATCTTAAGTTGTACAGCCTTATAAATGGCTTAGATTAGCTCTCCTTCATTGAGCGATTCTCCTGGTACCTTTAATATGGACTATAATGTAGCGGGAGCATTTCTGGATAATAGACCCAAATTCAAATTTCTGCAAAATTCTTCGGACTTTTTTCTTCTTCTTTCATCTTCTTCTATCTCCCTTCTAATCTTCTAAGTCAGAGAACCGCTTAAGTTGGCTTTTACATCACTCCTCTGGGCTTAGGTCAAGGACCACAAAG